AGCAGGAATTCAGAAGCTCCACCCAGTCACCTTACACAGAGGTGACGGAGACAGGGAAATGACGCCAATGCCAGTGTCATAACCTACAGCGAGACTGGGAGCTGTGCAGGGACTGGGCATTTCCACCTGATGACTCTGTTACCCTTGCCCAAGGAGCAGCAGGGCAGGGCCTGCTGCCATGACCTGTCACACCGCCTGTGTGTGTACATGTGTTGCCTATTGTGCTGTGCGGTGCCTGAAACAGGTGCCGCCTAACACACGTGTTTGTGTGTATGTCCTATTGTGTGCATACGTGTTGTCTGTCATCTGGGGGTGCGTGCTCCCGACACTGGGAGCAGCCAGGTGGTGCTTAAAGTTTTCTCCTAAAGAACATATCTGGTGGGGCCGGCAGGTGGTGTAGTGGTTAAGGTGCTGGATTCCCACATGGTTGACTACTGTTCAAGTTCTGGACCTGGCGGCTTGAAACTCATGCCAGGCACGTGTGCATGTACGGCCAGAGTCTCAAGAGAAGAATGGAGGAGAAGGGATTGTGACATGGCCAACCTCCTGGGGGGGGGTTATTTCTCTCTTTCCATCTGCCATCTGTCTCTCTCTGGTAAGCACATGTGCCCTATAGTACAAATCTCTTCAAAAAAAACAAAACAAAACAAAACAAAACTCTAAAAGAACACACCTGGTAAGAGGAGTACAGTTCCTGAGCCTCAGCCACCTCCAGGTTTGCTTCGCACCAGCGTCTTTGTCCCTTAGTAGAATGGACGTTAGGAAGGGCTTTGGCCCAGCCACAGTGGTGAAGCAGTAGTGCAACACTCAGCGATGCTGGAAGCCATATGGAAGATCAGGGTGCGGCTTCCAGGTCGACCTGTACCTGTACACACTGAGTGTATGTGTGTGTCTGTGATCCTGGCTGGGAAGGCTGGGTGAGGATTTTGGTGTGAGGCCCTGTTGAGGATGGTTCTCTCTCTCCTTCATAAAATAAATTTAAAAACTTAAGAAGAGAGATAAAGAAATGACTTTGAACCGTTGCAAGTTATAACCCATTGATTGCCCAGGGATGCCCTCCCCGTTTGTCCGGCCTGCAGAGGGGCGCCCTTCCAAACAGCACCCTCCCTGCGTTGGGATGCCGATTACTCAAGCGCCTGCTTGCCCAACTCTGACTGGAGCTCAGCTGGAACCCTGTCAAGAGGATGTTGCCACATCTGCCAGCAGGACATGCAGATGGAGAACTTGGGAACTGGAAGGACAGACGCTGGCTCGTTACTACACCTACACCCTGTCACTTTTTTTTTTTTTTGAGAAGTT